TGCAAAGGTATCACAATAGAAACACCCTAATTACAAAGAGTGACGTGTGTCGACAAAAGAACATCCAGTCTAAGAAATAAAGCCTTGTAAGAGTTTATTTGAGCCAAACTGAAGAAAATCGCTGAGAAGCAAAAATCTCAATGGATTAAGAAAATGCTCTGGAGAATGGCAGTTTTACAGATTATTTTACACATTAGGATCAAAGGAGGAGATGTGAGGAGGGTCACATGGAATCCATGGCTGGTGGATTAGAGAGGCAGGAAAAAGCAAAGCAGGACATCTCTGGGACTGGAAACCAAGCAGAAGACGTATGGTTTCTTGCTCAATGTATAGTTACTAAGTGGTGAAGCAGGAACTCAAACTCAGGTCTCTCTGACCTCAGGGCCTGCAAAGATCTTGGAGTGGGAGTGACACTCTATCCTAAATGAAGGGATATTTATGAGTGTGCACCAGGTGACAGTGGTATGCTGGGAAAAGAGCAAAAAACCAGGAGCCAGAAGCCTGGTCCCACCACTAACTCACTTCATTCATTCATTCATTCATTCAATCAATCAATCAGTCACTCATTCAACAGATATGCAGTGAGCACTTATTCACTATTATAGGAGCTAGAAAATGAGGCAGTGGACAAAGCACAACCACACCTGACTCATGGATTTTGTATTCTTGTGGTGTGAATGACAATAAAATAAATTTGCTTTCCTTCCACAAGATTTTGTAAGGGAGTCTCACAAGATGTCTATAGAGGATGGTATAGTATAGTCAGAAGAGCAGAGGCTTTGATGTTAGAATTCCCGGGTCTAAGTCCTGGCTCTTCCTAGCCAATTCCTAGCTGTGTGACTCTGGAAAAAAATAATGAACCCCTCTGAGCTTCTGTTTCTTCAATATAAAGTAGGAATAATAATCCCTATCAACCAAGACTGTTAGGATGAATACACTATCGTTATCACTGATGCTTGCGCCTCTGAACCCACCCTGAGTTCTCCTAGCCTGTGATTCCCCGCAGAAAACCTGGTTTCTGAGTCATAGCTGATGGAAGCGTCTGCCAGGGAGCCTACTTAGTCAGCTCTGTTCAGCCATCAGGCAGGGACCCTTTGTCATACTCCCGATGGAAGTGGTCCTTTCCTCTGAAAACTGGACACCTCCTCTCCTAATTCCCTGAAATGACACGTGGACCCTTTCTGTTCACAGGAACAAGAGAAGAAGGTAAGGAGAGAGCTGGGCTCAGAAGAAAGTGAAGCCCCAAGAAACTGTGTGCAGCTGCAGGCTTGATTTCAATTGACAAAAGCCACCTGGGGAACCTGCTGTGCTGGGCATAGCTGGGGACCATTTGTTTGCAGGTTGTGGGTTGCCAGTGCTTTGTTAGCAGCTCCCAGTGAGGCACCCGCAGGAAGATTTTTTTGCTTTTCCTGGATGCCATCCCTGATAGGCAGCCTTCACTTTATAATCTGGCCTACATCTAAGGACTGTATTCTCAGAGGGTCAGGTACAGAGAGGCTGGGAGGTTGAGTTTTAATCAGAATGTTTTTTTACCCTGAACACCGCAGCTCCCAGACTAATGGTTTCAGGTTCCTTCCCTGAAACCCCTTAAAACACACACACTCCTCTGGATGCTTAGTCCCTTCATGCACTTCTCACAGCTAATATATTCATGCGCCATTTGACTAAGTCAACCTCTCATGGGTAATGGAAATGTCAGGCAGATTAGGAGCTCCGTTCGACCTTGCTGACTGACCACTGCCTCCCCACCATGTGGACCCCTGTGACAATTCCATTGCCAGATGGAGCAAATAAAAATGCGAGATGCCCACTTAAATTAGAAATTCAGGTAACGAGTGATTTTTCAGTTAAAATATGTCCCGTGCGATGCTTGGGACATATACTAAAAATTATTGCTTATTTATCTGAAGTTCAAATGGAATTGTGCATCCTGTATTTTACCTGACAACCCTAATTACAACTTGTCTGTGATGCTCAGTAAATATATACATGAATGAAGAAATGACTGAGGCTAATATATGATGAAAAAACAGAAAACCAAATACAGATATTTTACTGGAAAGTACACACCAACATCTTAAGGGTGATAATTTCATTTTTCTATGCAGTTTTCTATGTTTTTTGGTTTGCTGTAATAACCAGAAAATTTCTCAAACATCATACAGGCATGTATTTATACCTATGTATATATACACATTAACTTAAAAAAATAAACCTGCTTCAAAGAGAAACAATTTGTGTTTTCCCTCAACCTGAAACCCAGAGTTTTCTGAACACAGCCCCCATGGTAAGGGACACTTTGAGTATTCATGGGAAGATTATTAAAAGCAATATAATATAAGATTATATAAAAACCTACATGGAATATAAGTAAACTATAAAGTACACAAGAAGGTACAAAAGAATTTAAAAAATATTGCTGCTATTTTATTTATAACTTAAGAAAATTGGCTCCTGAAGCTTTGGGGTTGAAAGATAAATCTGTTAAACCCAAGACACAAATACTGATTAAGTCACACGTAATATACTAGGGACAATCTGGTCTTTTTTCTTTGGTTTGAAGAATGAGGGTGGAAAACAGAACAAGGCAAAACATAAGAATGAGGGTGGAAAATGGGTTGAAGACCTCCCCCTGCCCGACCACACAACTTCCCATTATGCCATGGGGCCAAGCACCATTCAAATCTGTCTTTTGGGTGTTCAGTGATGGGCACACACATTAACCCTATCTTAGAACAATATGACTTAACAATGATAAAGATGGCTTATAAACACACCTCCATAAGTACTGCAAGATGCTTAATAGTTGTGGGAAGAGTCACTTACATTTACTATGCTGTACTTACTAATGCAGAAAGCATTTATAATAAGGAATTAATGTGCAATCTGAAGATCTTTAGCTCAGGGTTTGAAAGACAGAAGGGTTTTGTCCTGCACTTTTAGGAACTGTACCTCTCCCAGTGTTCAGTTCTGAATGTTGCACTGGAATCATGGGGTGAGAGGTGGAGTGTCTCTTCTCTCTTCTCTGTCAATATTAATGGTCCCCAATGTTCCACTGTGAAATGCAGTTTAAGAAGATGGGAAGGACAGGACAAATGTTGTATGGTCACCAAGTTGGCATACACAGAGGACAAAATGTCTGGAATGACATCGTGTAGCAAACGGCAGAGTCTGTAAACTTGGGTCAGCTTAAAGTCTCATAAGACCCATATTGTAGGGGGGAAATGAGACTAGAATGAAGTCACTCTTGCCTGCTCAGTGATGAGGGACAGGCAGAAAGGGTAAAATACTAAATCTGTCTTTATGAATGGTTCCTGATCTTAAAAAAAGAAAATGAGCTGGTTGAACTTTTGAAGAAAAAAAATGTGACTTTGAACAAAAAGCCTGGACACTGAGAGCACTTCATTTGCAGGGTGGAGAGAGAGGGTAGAAAAGGCAATCTGATGATTGCTAGGGATGGGGAAGAAAAAGCTGCCTCTGTTTCGTTCTTTACATGGCCACATTTTGAATAGGCCACTCTAAAATACTAATTAAATTCACTGAGCCTGAGCCAAAATTAGACTCTACCATGTCTCAGTAGTACATAAATGTAACAAACCAATTTCCAAGTCACACAGAGCCAACTTCTTTTCAACAGTGGCATAGCATTTGAGCAAATTATCTATTAAGTGAAGTGTGTTAATTAAAGATGGAGGGAGACAGGTTTAATGCACTGATTCCTCCAGAGAAATGTCCCTAAACACACAGTGACATTTCAATTATTCTTCCATTAGTATTCTCTGAATAAAGACCTTTTTTCTTGCCTTGGCTAGTAAGCATTACTTGGTATGCATATTTAAATAACAGTCATACTGAATTAGCTTTAAGAATCGGCTCTTAACATAATGGCTACATTACAATGGAGAGCAAAATGAGACAGAAAGACCTCCAAACAGAACAAAAGAACAGGAAGTAATAGACAATGCAAACTTTGTCTTCTAAGCCTTGAATTATGATCATGGCCTTGAGAGCAGATCACATAGTAAGCTCCAGCTCTGTTAAAACCTGTTTGGTGCTCTGGCTAGTGTTGGCTCAGTGGATTGAGTGCTAGCCTGTTGATTGAACCAAGAAGTCGCCAGTTCCATTCCCACCTGGGTCATGTGTCTGGGTTGCAGGTTGGGTTCCCAGTTGGGGGCCATCCAAGAGACAACTGATTCATGTGTCTCTTGCACATTGATGTTTCTCTCCCTCCCTTTCCCTCTCTCTAAAAGCAAATAAATAAAATCTTTAAAAAGCTATTTTGTGAGAAAAACATCACTTGTCTTATTCCAACCCTCAGGAAAATCACTGGCTGCTTAAGCTTGTTACAGGGAAATGCATTTTGGTGCCAATCATTTAAAGAAGACAGAGCTTTGTGCAAATTCTGATAATCAACATCATGTTAGCCAGTGACACCATTTTCCCCCCAAAGTCTCTGCCCTACAGTTAATGGGGAAAAGGTATCTAACGAGTAAGAAGACATCTGAACTCATTCCTTCAACCTATTTAATTACAATGCTTTAAAAATAAAAATTGGTTCTGACCAGGGTGGCTCAATTGGTTGGGCATCATCTCACAAAGCAGAAAGTCACCAGTTGGATTCCCAGCCAGAGCACATGCCTAGGTTGTGTGTTCAATCCTTGATTGGGGTGCACACAAGAGGCAACTGATCAGTTTCTCACATTGATGTCTCTCTCCCTCCCGTCCTCTCTCTCTAAAAAATAAATAAATATATTTTTAAAATGAAATAAAGTAAAATTTGACCTCAAGGGCAAGAGAAACTGTGACAACCAGACCAAGCAGTGGTTATTGGTGACAATAGAACAACTATAAAGACACTAAGGAGAACAAAAGTCCTTGTGGAAGATCCTAATAAGGACTTCGCAAATGTACACCTAGAACACAAAACAGGTTGTTTATGTCACAGTACTGGGGGTGGAGGGGGCAGTGTCTCCATTCAGAGAAGCAATAAATCTACCTACCACAAATTAACCAGGAAAGGATGCTCCAGACCCTGCATGATCTGGAGTTCCTTGAAGACATTTCTCACTTCATTACGCTCAACACATTTCTGTTTGTTCATGTATTTCATAGCATACATCTTCTTGGTATCATTCTTCTGAACAATGCAGACCTAACGGAGCAAATTAGAGTGAGAGACTGGTTGGGAGAGGACAGATCACAGCAATGAGGGACAGTACAAGAATTGTTCTTCAGTGGGGCTTAGAGGCCTTATCTCTTGCAAATTCTCTGATGCTAAAGTGGCTACTTAGTTCTAATTTCAGACTGAAAAACTTCATTTCCTTCTGCTGCACCAGGTCATTTCCTAAATCTCTGCTTTCTCAAACAAGTTTGCCTGGTTTTGCTTTGGGGATTTTATTTTTTTAAACAGCATTTTAGCAAAAATAGCTGTCCCTTTGTCAGGAATCTTCCCCTAGCAAATGACATCTTTATTCTGCTTTGAGTGACTGAAATGAATGGACTAAACTATCAAGCTGAATGACATTGTGCAAAGAATTCTTGTTTACAACCATAAGTGATGTTACTAACTAGCACTTGGAGAACATGAAACACAATGTCCATATTTTTAAAAATTATTTAGAGGTTTATATAATGTCTGATTATGTAAACAGAAAATAATTTTAAAATAAAAACTCATTCTTCTCACAAAATATGAAATACTAAATATTCTCAAAATACCTCTCCACTAAGAAACTAATTATCAGGATTTGAATCTAGAATTTTCTTACGAAAAGTTAAAGTGGATATATATCTTTTTCACCGTAAATTTTTTTTTTAAATAAAAACATGATCCAACTTGGGAAAAACAGAAATCAGGTGCCATCTTTCCCACATGAAAAGATTTAATGCTTACATTGACCAGATACCTGTTACCGAGTGTACTGGTATCAATTTGAACATGATTCTGAAATCTTACTCTCTCCATGAGAGTAGAGAAGAAGTCTTAAATTCCAGTGAGAGAGAACAGACTTGACTTTGAGATAGTTTTGAGATGTTTATTATGTACCATATTTTTTTGCGTATAATGTGCACCCATATGCTTTTGGCCCAAACTTTGAGGAAAAAAGCTTTTGTTTTAATTTTTTAATTCAATTATTCATTTTATTTATTTATCTATTTATATTTAAATACTTGTTTCTGTGTTGTAAAGAAATTTTAGCATTTTCAACATATTATGGTACAAGAAACTTTATGTAACAAATAATTACAAAACACAAGAACAGATATAAGGTATTTCAGGTATTACCCATGTATAATGCTCATCCTTACTTTTCCCTCAAATATTTGGGCAAAAATAGTGTGTATTGTACATGGCAAAATATGATAGATGTCTGTCTCTTGTCTACCTCAAATTGTGGTGATGATTTTATAAAAGTTCATAATAAAAACATCCCTGAATTATCAATCCTTGTGTGCCAGGTAACTCAGTAACCTAAACATTGGAGTTTCTGTTCCCTAAGCTACCTAACCGTGCTGGTGGTTAATCATTTGGATTCTCACCTTTCCAAAACTGCCTTTCCCAATGGCTCGCAGAATTTCAAAGTGGTCAAAGTTGACTGTAAGACAAACAAAAGAACATTGTGAGTGATTGATTATCAGTTGTCCTTTAGCAGCTAACAAATAATAAGTAAAGATTGGACTAAACCGAACGACCTGGTCTAAAACAATATTCCAGATTACTGTAAAATGCCCATTCATTCATCCAATAAATGCTTCTTAAACCTGATATCATATTATGGCTTAATCACAGGGCTTAGCACTGGAGGGTGCAGTAATAATAGGATAGGGATCTCATCTCTGCCTGTATGGAGACTGTAGTCTAGGGAGTACTCCATCTAGAAAGAAACCCGTAAGAATTAAACAGTCACAAAAGTAGTGAACAATTAAAACTCCCGATGAATGTTAAGGATAAAGTTATGAGGCTCTAAGAAGAGCATGTAAGGGGATTTCACATAGGTGGCAAGGTCAGGGGCAGCGTCTCTGAACACAGACAATTATGGGGAGTTCTGGTCCTCTGTGGATTTGGCTGTACTATGGATCAGCATTTTAAATGTCTTCTCCCTACACCCACTCTTTTGTATATTAATAATTCAATTTTCCCAAGCGAGACACTAGGACACTTGTAAGTTGATAGAATGAGCTGATCCCCAAGGTTCTATCTAAGAGATTAGCATGAACATGTGGGCAGAGGTCTTCTGAAGGATGTATGAAGTTGAGATGGTCTTTCCCATCTGCCATTGAAACACTTCAGCTGTGAGGAGGCAGAAGAAGTAGGTATTACCCATGTATAATGCTCATCCTTACTTTTGTAGGTGGCCTGGGTTTGTGATCATGAAGTGCTTGGTTAAGAGGTGCAAAATATAGATTCTCTTAGGTGACAGTCTTCAGTTTTTGGCCTCAATGATTTTGAGAAAATGTTCCATTTCTTTCCTGGTTTTCAAAATAAGGATTTAGACAAGTAAAACTCCAAATGAGTGCTTATAAGAGCTTATTCAGAAAAGGTCGAGAAACACTGAAAGATACAACTCTTCTCTTTAAAAAATACATTTTGTGTCTCTCTTTTTAAAAAAGAATAATTAGATTAGCACTTCCTGAAGAAAAGAGAAATTAGTAAAGCAACCTCTAAGGTTTTTCCAAGCTTTCTGAGAGTCAAAGTATTTTTGTAACATGACTTGTGAATGAAAAGAGAGCCACATCCTAAACCCGACAAGCTCAGGGAAGGCCTGTGTGGTGGCCGTACAGACTCAGAGACCTAACATAACCACATAGGCTGGTCTGAAATCAAATCCATGTAGCTAATGGTGAGTCACATCCTCAGCTAGAATGGCTAGAATCTTCTCCAGCAAAGGTCAGTCTTTACATTAACTGAGCCTGTCCATGGTGTTTTGCGTCTATGACAACATTGCTTTGGGATGTCAGTCATCCCCTTTTCCAGACCCCTCAGGCACAGTCACTGCACCAGCCCACAGAACTCCTCATTGTCATCTTCTTCCCCAACATGCCATCTCTGTGAGCTGTACATATTAATTGTTAACGATCCTCTACCCACTTCATAAAAGTAGTTTTTGTCTCTCCATTTCAATCTCACGAATTTCCCCACTTTGCTTTCTCCTGCCCAGTGGATTTCATATAACCCCCTTATGTCTTCTCCTTTGATTGTTATGTATAAAATGTGCAGTAAAACTGCCATTTTCTGGAGCATTCTCTCAATCCATTGAGATTTTGCTTCCCAGCAACTGTCGTCAGTTTGGCTCAAATAAACTCATAAAAATTCTCTATAGGTTTGGACGTTTCTTACGTTGACAGACTTAATCACCACTTCCTTCTCTGAACTCCCAAATCACTGTAAGTCTAGCACAAATGCTATTTAATCATGTGAGGCAGTATGTATATTACAAATAATCCTGGATTTAGACAAAATAATGCTGTGACTTCTGGTAATGACAGACTCTCTCAGTCTCCATTTTCTCATCAGTAAAAATCAGAATGATCCTCCTAGATAAAACACTTTTACTCAGAAAGTGTTCATAAAGTTGTTTTTTTTAATTCATTTATCTTTATAGGGGAAGGAAGGGAGAGAGGGAGAGAAATATCAATGTATGGTTGCCAATCGTGTGTCCCCTGCTAAGAACTGGCCTACAACCCAGGCATGTGCCCCAACTGGGAATTGAACAGTGATCCCCTTAGTTCACAGGCTTCTGCTCAATCCACTGAGCTACACCAGCCAGGGCTAAAGTTGTTTTCTTATTTAACATAGTCAAGTGAATGACTTATCTTCCAAACTCCTTGTGTTATGAGTTTCTTTCATAAACTAAAGCCTAAGTTCTATGAGTGCAGAAATAACATGTCATTTGCTCATCGTGCTTTCCCCAGCAACTCAGACAATTCCTCTTTGTAGTTATTTTCCATAGAGCCTACCTCAGGATTTACATGTGGTTGGTTCTCAGTGAATAAATCAGACTAAGGTGTCTGATGCACAAGAACCCCCAGACAATTGCATCTTATACATATAAGCAGTGTGAGCATTTGAGTTTTCTAAGGAATTGAGTTTTCTAATTGTTTTCTAAGGAGTTTTCTAAGGAATTTCAAACTGAGTCGAGAACCACTAATGAGTTAGAAAATAAATTAGCAGTAATGAAAAGCATTACAAATTTAAATACAATAGAATACATTGAAGATATCAGAATGCCTCAAATGTACATAGTATATATGTATGTAGATAGGTATGGACTGGATCATAATATAATTTGGGGGGTATATTTCTTATTGTGGGTTATGGTCAAAATAATTTAAAAACACCTTTGTAAGTTTTCTCTTGAATAAACTGGCATACCTAAATAATTATTTTCTCATACTCATTCCATGAGCCTGAGTTACAATATCATATATCATGCAAGTGTTGAAAAAAACTCACCAGGATTTATTTGCAAGTCCAAGATTTTATCTTGATTAAATCCAATAACTCACTGTGATTCTTCCACTAGAGCCCTAGAATCTTTATGCCTACATACATCAGATACCTAGAAAGCATGGAGTTCCAGTGTGATATTACCATATTTTGCTGCCTATAATGCACACTTTTTGCCCAAATTTTTGAGGGAAAAATAAGGACGTGCATTATACATGAGTAGTACTAATTCTGTATCTATATAAATGTTTTTAATTTTTTAATTGATGCATATGCATGAAAAGTGTAACTCTAGAAAGCAATAATGATATCCAGATGCAAAATAATACCAAGGTATACAATAATCAGTTTTATTTCTAAATATAAATAAATTAAAAATTGAATTAAAATTAAAATGGAAGATTTTTAAAATATTTTATTTATCTTTAGAGGGGAAGGGAAGGAGAGAGGGAGAGAAATATCAATGTATGGTTGCCTCCCCTGTGTCCCCTGCTGGGAACTAGCCTGCAACCCAGACATGTGCCCTGACTGGGAATCGAACCGTGGTTGCTTGGTTCCCAGGCCTGAGCTCAATCCACTGAGCTATACCAGCCAGGGCTAAAATGGAAGATTTTTTTTCCTGAAAGTTTGGGCCGAAAATGTGGGCGCACATTATATATGGGAGCATTTTATACATGGCAAAATATGGTAATCCATTTCATAAACCACATCTCTTTTGAAGCCTTCTTATGCTTGGGTGAAAAGGATAAAGGTTAGGTGCCATGTTACTGATACATTTCTACCAACAGAACTGCCTTACTTAGCTGCCCTTTTCTGAGCTCAGAAGCATTGAGAACTGCCATTTTCCACCCCATCAGCTTCACAACGACCAACTGTCCTAAGTGAGGACATGGATGAAAACTCCCAGGAACTGCAGGATGATTAACAACAGGAGTCAGAGGGCATTTGCTCTGTCAGCACTGCATCACCACACTGATACAGAAATCAGTATATCACACTATGCAACAAAAAGAAACCAACATTAAAGGACGATCTTCCATATGCCTCATTGGAATGAAGACAGAATCGTGCCTCTTCTACCATGTCACTTTGCCCTCTTGTAAGAATAAACATTGCATGATTTGCCAAGTGTCTGCCTTTGGTTGGGGGTGATAATCTTGGCAATGTGTCCTGTTTAAAGTCCCAACATCATTGTGCCAAATGTTTAGCCAAATGATATTCTGGGCTGATGACCCACATAGTAACAAAACCAAAAAAAATAGCATTTTAAGGGAGTGTAAAAAATTAATAATAAAGAATACTCAACAAAGACCAAAATATTTACTAGCTGGACCCTTATAGAAAAGTTTGCTAAAAAAGGGAGGAAAAGAACAGAAAAAATGAACTTTAATTAAAAATACAGTTCTTCTGGTGAATTTTACAGTTTTCCACTAATGAGATGAATGTTTGTTCATCATACTGCATTCTCAAATGGAGGCCATTACAAAGAAACGCTTGCTTATACCGTTTTAAGACAGTCACAATAAGAGAGGAAAGAAGCTAAACCACTTCTGCAGAAGCCATATCTTTGCTAGCAAGTTAAGCCAACAAATATTAATTGAGCATCTGTGTGCCTAGAACTGTCCCAGGTACTGATGACAAAACAAAGGAGCTTGGGACTAAGTCACATCCTCAGAAAACTGAGTGTGACTCATTCAGTAGTGTTTGTGAGAACATGAAACCTGGGTAATCAAATATGCCATACCTCATTTTTATTTGTTCTATTTTTCCATAGTGTATATCTTTGGAATCCAGTCTTTGCATTTTTCTGGAATTATATGAGTATAAATAAATAGGTATATAACAAAGAAGTAGACAAATAAAAGCAATAGAGTGTTAATATTTGGTGTAGAAAGGTTCTCTGGACCTTCAGAGAAGGGAAAGAATATTGTGGCATGAGAATTTTGCATCTTGGTTTTTAAGATAGAATGCTTTGATGAAAGATAAAAATTACTTGGGTCAGGCAGAATTGCATTAGAATCCTAACTCTACCATTTACAAAATAAATAAAATTAGGAAATTTCTCTGACCTTCCAGAGTTTCAATTTCTTGTTCAAATTAAGATTATTTTTATATAAAACTAATATACTTTTGGTATACAAAAAAAGT